CCAATCACCAGCTTTCCTAGGAAACCTGTGCTTAATACTTGGGAACAGAGCTACTAGACCTGTAGAAATCAGGGAGACTAAACCCGTAGGAGGACACTCATGTGTAAAGCCTTTCTGGCCCCTTGTGTTTTGGGTGAGGTAGACTAATACAGATATTCTCATCTTCCTATGCCAAAGAAAGAAAAACAAGCTAGAAATTCACATACTTCACACAATCATCAGAGAGAAATAGAAGAGGAATTTTCCACCCAACTGGAAGTAGACAAACCCCAATTATTTCTACAGTGCAGCTTCCTTTTTAAAAACCATTTACATCTGAACTCAATTTAAACCAAATCTGATTGAAGCAATCAGTTCAAAGGCAGGATTGCTTTGCCATCAGTTGTATTTATGGTAACTGGTTAGAAATGTTCTGTGTATGCTTGAGATCTCCTTTCAGGTAAATATCTACTTTCTTCAATTCAGACCTTTAGTGTAAGATCTTAGCACTACCAGCATACTGTGTAGTGACAGTCCCACACCGGCAAACCCCAAGTCTTGGAACTGGGGGAAATGTCTGGTAAAAAGGAGAGTATCTTATGTTAAAAAACAGGTTTTTAGATGTTTCTTTTTGAGGGGTGAAGAAACTGCCTGTCCAAAACCACCATTCAAATGCAGCATGGTGCCACCTAGTACTTTTATATAATACAGCAGCATGATGGTTTAGTTTGGAAGCAGTATCTGTGACTTTAGAGAGCCATTCTGCTCTCAGAAGCAAAGGCATATGCATCTGTGTTTTTTTAAAAAAGGTTACTCTTAATGAGCCTGCAGGGAAGCTATTTCTGAGAGGTGCATATTTGAGTGCAAAGCTATTATTCCTAACAAATTACTCATATTGCATCATCAACATGAAACAATGACACTAATTTGCTCTCATGCATACTGGTGTAACTCCACTGGGCCTGGTTTGCTAGCATGCCTGAGCCTGGAAGAGGTACCTCAGAAAAGCCAGTCATAGCCTGAGCTGCTCCACTCTCCGAACTGGACAGCAGCTGGGGATGGGACAGGATGGGATGGGAGCACTGCAGGATTAGCCACCTCAGTCCCCACCTTTCCTCTTCCCATGCGCTGAGGGGTACGTGGCAGCTTGGTGCCGGGCAGGAGCTCCCCTGGGAGAGGGCAGTCAGCTCAGGAGACCAGCTGTTTCCCATCTCCCTTTGTACTACTGGGATGATGCAAAGGAGGGAAGCAAGTATTGAATCACATGGAATCACTCCCCTTTCCTGGCATAAAAGAATTGCAGAGCCTATTGGTTCTTATGCCTGCTGAAAAGTAAAAAGGAAATAAAAACATTTTGGTAGAGTTTGGAGAAAGATGCCTTTCTACTCTCTTCAAACCATAGATTGGTCTATGTCCTGATTGACTTTTGCAGTATTAGCATTTTAAAAACATATTTTTTAATTAAAATGGGCTGGAACAAATTTCTGTTCTCAGTCCTGGATTGCACCAGAGTTCACAAGTGGGTTTCTTTTGCAACCCAAATCAAAACACTGAAGACAAAACACACACATTTTGATTCAAACTGTGCTCTCAATGAGGTTTCCAACAAAACAGTACACTTGACAAAGTGTGGTTCTACTTCACATTTCCATGCAGAGTTAAAATCAAAATCTGGCCTTGGCATTCGAGCCTGCCTCCAGTTTAGATCAGGAGTTTTGACACAGATCCATGTTTAAGACTAGAATTTATTTCTATTTCTTCTATCAAGAAAACCTCATCATCTCTTCTCATCATCTTTGCAACATTATGCTCATGTATAAACTGTAGAGTAAAAAAGTCAAACTAGTAATTAAATTAGCATAAACGTGATCTACTAAGCATCATTATTTGAGTGGTTCTCTCCCCTTCCACCATGTGCCAGCTCATTCCCAAGTATTGTAGGGCAACACAAAGGCTGGTCTACAAAACAGCACCCGAGGAAAGCAGCTGTAGTACACTAGGGCCAGTTTAATCTTTACATGTGTGTTCATAGCCGGGGTGGATGAGGGTGAGAAAGCTATGTGGGCAGAGAAGTAATTGGAAGCAATCACAAAACAGACTTACATAAGTGAAACGATGCATGCAAGTAGTCTCTGGAGATTAAAGATATTTGGGTTGGGAGAAAAGCTTTAATTGGAATTGACCTTGTAAAACATACTCCCTTATGTTCAGGCTTATAATCATGGGTGGGCCGGCTGATCTATTTAAAAATGCCTGGTTCACATTAACCACCCAGTTTTTAGAGTCAGTTTTTAGATGCCTGGTGGTATCACCAAGAACAAATGACGGTGTGTGAGTATCGATCCAGCGCCCTGGCAGTTAATGGAAACGAGCCCAGATGTTGTGTGTAGCACCTCAGACAGCACTGTCAGGCAGTGTTTTGACATAAGAAAACACTTTCCTTCAGGAAAATAGAATACCAATAATTCAACTGCTGCTACAAGGACAACAGATTTCCAGCTGCTGGTCTCTAGATAGATTTTTAGAAATAACAGACGTTACTGAAAAAGATGTAATAGCTGGGAGATTCTCCCAGGTAGATTTGGTCAAAACTAATTCCTTTGATTGTAACACAGATGCAAATGCAACAGGCGCATCACTACTAAACCAGCTGTTTTGCTCAGGAAAGCTGTGCAGAAAAGAAACACTGCTATCTTTTTGCACGCTGGCTGGGGGCATGTGAAGGGCTGATCAAAGCAGATTTTTATGAGGAAGTCCAGGGATGAGCTTGTTGGGCTCTAGCTGCAATGGTGAGCTCCTCTCCCTTACTTCTTTAGCCTCTGAAATAGCACACACCAATTGTCTGTAAAATAGACCAAATTCTAGACTCTCTTCAGAAAGGAGGAGCATGAATATGCTGGAGTACCTGTTCCAGGAGGACAGCCTGAGACAGCTGGGGCTGTTCAGCCTGGAGAAGGCTCTGGTGAGACCTTCTAGCAGCCTTCCAGTACCTGAAAGGGACCTACAGGAAAGCTGGGGAGGGACTTTTTACAAGGGCATGTAGTGAAAGGATGAGGGGAGAACAGTTTTAAACTGAAAGAAGGTAGTTAGATTAGATATTAGGAAGAAATTACTTACTGTGAGGGTGGCAAGATGCTGGCACTGGTTGCCCAGGGAAGTTGTGGTTGCCTCATCCCTGAAAGTGTTCAAGTCCAGCCTGGATCTGAGCAACTTGGTCTAGTGGATAGCGTCCCTGCCCGTCGCAGGAGGGTTGGAACTAGATGATCTTTGAGGTTCCTTCCAAGCTAAACCATTCAACGATTCTGATTCTATGAATACTGGATGTTTTGAATTTGCAGAGTTTTGATCATATGTCCCTGCTGTGCACTGGCAGGCTCATTCTGGTTTGATTTGGCAAATACTGAGTCCCCTTAGTCGCTCTCTGCCTTTCCAGGTGCTGTTCCAAGGTTTGCTTCCTGGGCTGTTCCCCTGCATTGGCTCTGCCCCTGTAACTGCCGTGGGGCCACTTCAGCCAGTGGGAAATAGGGTGAGAACAACCTCTGGCTCCACAAAGCAGGAGAAAAGGATGGCAAAGCACCTCTGACTGAGAAGAAAGCCTGATCCAAGCAAAGACCCCTAAACAAGGTCCTGCCCTTGTGCAAGCTTTTAGCTCCAGGGCACCGTGGCTATTAGCATGTGTTTCTAAGTGCCTTACCATGGTTAAATTGCATATAATTGATAAGTGCAAGTCAACTTCAGTCCTTCTCAGGCAAGGGACTTATAGTGTGGGAATTCACATACGTGCTTTAGAAAAGTTTGAGAACTGTTGACTGAAACTTGTGCTGATGACAAATCAGGTTTTGGCAAAAGAAAGATTTTCTCAGAAATAGTTTGCTTTTTTCTATGTTATATAAAAAAGAACACTTCCCCCTTTTTGAACTCATTGGCCAAAATTGAGAACTTTCTTTGTTTTCTGCCAAAAATCAAGTTTCCTGTAAGGAAACTCTTTCTTAACATAGCAAGCAGTTTCTGACTGGCTTCATGTGTATAACCTCTGTCACCATAGTGTAGCATCACACTTCCAGGAAACCAAACCAAATTCACATTTGACATGAATGACTCAGGAACTTACCTAAGAGCGATGTATTAAAACATGTTGTCTGTGTAAGAAATGGGAACTGTTAAAAGTATTTTTTAAAAAGCAGTCTCTGATCTTTCACTCCCTTCAACTTCAGACTCCCTTAAAATCCTTTGACAAGCCTCAATTATTTTTCAGCCAATCTTTTATTGCTAATCTCTGTGCAGGCTTTCAAAGTGGATGCTGTCCAGAAATCCTATTACAATAAATTTACTGTATTAGAAAAATCTGAGGAGGAAACAAGATATGGTCATATAATTAAGTCTGACTGTTCACCATTGCCAGCCTTTCATCCAGACCTTTGTTTATTGTCATCTTATCCTGCACTTAATCTTACTTAAAGCATAGGTACAAGGACCTTCCATTTTCTTTATTTTTGAGTGCTTCTGCATATATGATACCACATTTCAAACACATATCCTCTCTCTTTCCACATCGGTGATGCTGTACAAATAAAAACTTGTTACAAAAGCTTAACCAAGAGTTATAAGCCTAACCAGAACACATTTCTGTAGCTCTCAGTCTCCTTTGCTGTGAACAGCAAGGCCAGCTTTTCCATATTTTAACAGAGATCAATATAATAATTATATTAAAATGCTGCTTAAAGTAATGGATTAGGTATTAGCATGTCTGAATTAAAAATCCACAGTATATTAGAGTGCATAACCCTACAGAAATCTTGAGGATCACCTGCTTTAATTGTAAGTATCTTGGGATCTCTAATACCTACTTGGAGAGCCATTGGAAGCTTCCAGATGGACATCCTGCTCAGGGGACAGTGTGAGAGCAGCTCCTCCCAGACCTGCAGTGTCACTGCTGGCCTGGAGGCAGAGCAGTGCTGAGATGCTTTGGTTTACAACCTTGAGGTCTACAAGCAAGGTTGCACCAAGTGAGCTGTGTAGCCATGGCCAGAGGGACAGTGGCAGCAGTGGCAGCCACCTACCCACATTTTTATGGTGTGGTCCTGGCTGACCACATCAGTAGCTCCAAGTGAGGAAAAAAAAGTGTTGGCTTTAAATACCTGGCTGCAGAAATACAGGAAAAAAAGAATAAAAAAAATTACTAGTTGTAATGGATTTTCATTTTTCCCAGAGAGAGGAGGCAAGGCAGCAGCGGCTCCGTTTCAAAAACATCCCCCTTTCCTTGTTATCTACAAGACTTGTGCAAACCAGAACGAAGTGGGCTTTCCAGACGACTCCTGTGCTGCTGGCTAGCGTGGTGGTGATCGTTTTTTCTTTTACTGGATAGCAGCTATTCAGCAAAGCATCGAGTGTTTCAGCACTCTTCCTGACATGTTCTCTGCTGCATCAGGTTCGTGCCACCTAGTGGTGACAGTCCCACCGGCAACGCAGATGGTGGTTTTCACATCTCTTCACGAAAAACCGTAATAATCAGAGTATTCTTTCAAATGATAAAGAGCGACGTTCTAGATTATTAATCGGTACCGTGAATGCTCTGGTAAGCTTTGTCTTTCACCTGCAAACTGCACATCCGTCCTTACAAGACTCCAGATGATATCCCAGACTTCAGTGGAAGAAAATGCCAAAGGAAAGCATCAACATCTGTAAATTTGCCTGCCCACTCCAGCTGGCCTCTGTCTGGGTCTTGAAGCCAGAGGCAACGCAGTAATAAACCAGAAGAACAGAGAAGTGCTTGACTCAGTCAGTTCTCACTCATTGACACGTCTTCATCTGCAGTTGTCAACAGTCCATGGATTGCTTGGAAGCCCTGAAAGGTGTATCTTTAAAAAATGAACGTTTCCAAGTAGCCTTATTTAATTGATCTTGTATTTCACTTTGATTTATGATTATTGTCTAAACTTTACCTGGAATAGATCAGCTTAACAACCAGTTGTCAGCAAACCTGCAGTGAATTTTAAATTAAAATTCCTCCATTTGTCTTTTGTTCCATGACATTTTCAGCCTTGCTTAAACAAAGTATTATTGAAGATTTCTCATCTCTTTTGTTGTATAATTTAATTCAGGGAGGGAGAAAAAGACAACATCTATCCACACTGCAGCACTGGAGTTCTACCAAGAATGAATGTGGACCAGCAGATTTATTGACCAAAAAACAACAGAAGAAATTGTTGACTTCAGTCTTTCTGCACTGAGCAAGCCACTGAACAGACTAGAGTTTCAATGAATAGATTGCAGTGGAAAATTTCCAGTATTGTACATTTGTGTGCAGCTTAATGGATTCACGCCAATGCTGAAGAGAAAGGTAGCACTCAAGTTTTCAGAGAAACTGTCATGCCACAAAATCTGCATTGTCCCCATTCAGAGATCAAAGATTCAGCTTGCCCTGGTAAGGAGGTAGGAAGCAACCTGAAACCCTGGGCTGCTTCACAACTCACTCCCCAGGTGGACAGAAAAATAGGGTGCTTCTGCCACTCTTTTCTGGAAACTGGTAGGAGATTAGCTTTAAATTAATATTGTGATAGCTTTTGTTAATATGTAACCTTTAGTCCAGCACCTCAGTAGTTGCTCCTGCTCTCTTATGCGATGTGAGATGCCCAGTCTCTTTTTCTGCCATGCATCCTTCTTCCAGCAAGCCTTCTGCCTTTGGGATTAGCCAAAGTGCCCAGGAAGCAAATGCAACTTCTGAGTCTAGCAGAAGTGATACTATGCCAATAAAGGCTTTTAGACATTTTATCAGTGTTTCTTAATTAATCCAATTGAAAATATAATGAGAAGTATGTCTGAGAGATGAATTCTCAATGAATGTAAAAATAGATTAGAAAAGCATCATTGGTTCAGGATTAAATATTGTATAGACAGAATTGTTGTGAGAAATATATCTCTTCAGGCTGTCTTAATACTATGCTGTCAGTCATCAGTGTGTGTCAGGGGTAGAGCAAGTGCAAATGCAAAAAGTTTAGGAGGAGAATCACTTGGAAGAGCTGCTAGAGTTACATTTTCAAGTTAAAGTGAGGATAGACACAGCATGTAATGAATGTCATATCTGCTTTAACAGCAAACTGTTTATTTGATGATGACTATGTTTGGGAGGGAGATAATGATATGAGTTGAAAAAAAAATAATCAAATATTAACTCTCAAATAATTTTTCTAAACTTGAAAATGCAGCAACTTCACAGAGACTGCCAGCATGAGCCATGCTTAAAGGAGAGATCCAAAATGGAGAGAAAACAAAAAATACCCATTTTCTCAAGCAAGGCCAATACACCAGCTGTGAAAACGCAATCAAGCTGCATTGCCTTCTTGGATCCTGTTGCTACTGTTCAATTAAAATGTCAAATGATTTTCAAACTTCTTCTTGATATTATGTCTACCAAGTCTAACATCTGATAAAATCAGAACAGCCCGAGACCCTCATATTTCTTTAACCCAACAACAGAAGTAAAGTTTTTTTTTAAAATTTGAAGCTCTTCAACTGGAAAATTTAGACTTTTTTTCATCAGGTGATTGCACATAAAATATTTAACTTCCAAATCTTTCCACATCGTAGTGTACCCATCAGAGAAAATACTCCATGGGAGTTTAATGCCACACTGGAGGCTACATGTGAATACAAATCTATTTGCTACTGCTCAGAATTGCTTTGTCCTGGACACTTTTCTCGAAATATGACATGGGATATAGTGTTCTCCTTGCCTTGGTGGCCCCAACAGTTTTGAAAATGGGTGTTAATTACTCATAAATAACCTGTCTTTGCTATGCTGTTACTTGGGAGACTGTACAGTCAGGGAGGTATTCACACAATTAAAAAAAAAACAGACCTGAGGACCAAAGGGATATTCTGAAAATGTTAACTCTTTTTTGCACATGCAACTCCAAAAGCAAATAGAAGCTTTCAGAATAAGTCAGCCAAAAGAATGCGTTTTTTCCTATGCGTTTCTATTTCGAAATGGGTATTTTAAAATCTACCTACTACTCACATGGCTTCTTTCCTGCAATTTTTACATCCCGATGGGGATAAAGAACTGCTTTGTTGTGCTGCAAGAATTTCAACTCAGTTATGCCACCAGAAGTGGTGGAACACCTGCCTAAACTAACCTTTAAAAACAATTAAGTACCACCCCTGTTGATTTTAATTCACTATGATACTGCTCTTTACAGTAATGCTTTCACCATCGCTGTCTCCGGAACAGGACAGCACTTCCTCCTCATGAGGTAATCAGGAATGTTGTTCCTTACATCAGCTGAACTTTCTGGACATGACATTTACAAATTTATCTCTTTTCTGGATGTTGCAACTGAGCAACAGTTCACTCCAAATGCTGGTGGCGAGGGCCAGCACATCTGCAGGTGGACAGCTATACCTTTTGATCTCAAAACTTTTTGCTGGCATTTCAGATTTCAGATTTAAAAAAATACACAATTTATTGAGATTTTAGCTGGGACAGTCTACTTACTTCAGCAAAAGCTTTGCCAGAATTCACAACTACAGATTGCTCCCCTGAAGGACATCAAGTCACTGCTCACACAAGCCAAGTTCAAGCCACTGACCAGAACATAAAAGGTTTTAATACATAATCCTTTTTAAATCTCTTAGCAAAGATGGTCAGCCAATGACCTTATGGCTAGATCTGGCCTGCAAAGCATTTAATCTGGTCTGTGGAAAGAAAAGAGATACCTTTAGCAGACCATGAGGTTGCTGAAGTTGCTCCGTTGATTTCAGTGAGAGCTACTTATAAGAAGGAAATTGCAGGATTTGGTTCCAGGTACTGTCATGGAAAGAAAAACTCTAATGAAATTATCTTTGGAAGTGCACCACTGCAAGTCAGGTATTTTGAAGTGAATCCAACATATCATATTTAATTGCATATATTTACTAAAAGCTGTTAAGTACTGAATGCTCTGGTTTGTCTGAAACTGAAAAGGCATCCAAGACTAAATTGATTGAAACTTGACTTTTGGGAACTGAGACTGAGCAGCTGTGATAAGGACCAGATTGTTGGCTGGGTGGTATTTTCCTTTCCAACAATATTGGGAGCTTTAGATTTTGCTACAGATTGAAAGAAAATGCTACAAAGCATCATGCCTGTGCAGACCAGCTGTAAACATGACAAGGCCCACTGTGCCCTTTTTGCAAAGGCCCCAAGAGCATCATCACACTGGGAGGTCTGGCTGCCAGGGCTTGGGGACAACAGAGAGTCAGTGGGAGAGGCCCCCAAGCAGAGCTACAGGGAGGCTGTAACTGAGACCTACCCTTGGCCTCAGGGAACTGGTTCCAGCTGAGGCCACCCTGCTTGGTCCCTGCCTGAGTGACAACTCCCACTGTGCTGTTGTTTCTCTTCAGCACATCCCCATGCAGTGGCTTTCCTTTAGCTGGGAAAGCACAGAGCGAAAATCAACTGTACAAGTCCTGGATTTGGTGAATCCCGCTTAGCACGTCCACAAAGAGCAATAGGGGCCACCAGGCCCATTCCTGGGACTACCAGGGGTAGGGACAGGCTCAGACTGTAGCTCCATGCCTGCCTCCCGTGCAGCCAACCCAAAGACCGATGCTATCTTCAGCCAGAGATGGAACTCCAGGAATACCCTCACCTTGCTCAGTTTCCTGGTGGACATAATCTGGAGGAATTATTTTTCTGAAGAAACTTGAGATACCTGTGTCACATTATTTCATATCTGCCCTAGAAGGGACTTCAGGATTTTTGCTGACTGCTGTTTACAAAAAACTCTATTAGAATAGTGTTCTGGTGTCCTACAGACAGGGAAGGAGGTAGGAAACAGCTGCGCTGGTAATTAAGAGATTTCTCTGTGCTTATATGTATGCCAAACAGAAGAGAGGCTGAGACAATTAAGAACCTCAGTTTTAGTAAGGACATGCTGACAAGATCATTGAGATCTGTTTTGTCTCATGCTAGATCACCTACCAGATCCTGCCCCAATGGATGGGGCAGGAACATGTAATGGCAACTCTGGTGAATCACCCAGGGTACACAATTTGGTATCTATGCTGGCTTTATATTGTCTGGGGGGAACTGGCAGTGTCTAGTCTGGCCTAAAACTGATGTGGCATGGACAGAATATACACAAACCAATGCAAGCCAGAACATTTTTCAGCACTGTGGCACTTAGACCCATAAGGCTTCAGTGTTTTGGTGCAGTATTCAGCACCCTAAAATATTCTTGTGTATTGCCTAACATAATCCCAACTGAAAAACTGAGCTGCAGTAACTGAAAGCTTACACAGGGTGTTCAGAAGCTCTTGTCCTTATAAACAGCCCATCAGAACCAGGTACACAGTCAAACAGATGCCTTGCAATACCTAAATGCAGCTAAGAGACATATTTATATCAGCTGCTGTGTGTGCCTAGTGCAGACAAATGCCAGGAGAGTAAGAAGTTATTCGGGCTGGCAGTAGTCCAGGACTATGAGATCCTGCCTGCTGCAGATTTGTGTTGGGCTATCTACTGAGGGCAGCTAGAGCAGGGCTTGTTCAGATGTTCTGCTTACTATATTTATTGGCACTTGTTGAGGGGAGACAAGTTTCTAAATCTGGCTTTCAAAAACCTTTAAAGCCACGTGCCATCACTGGCAGGGACCTTGGTGGCAGCAGTAGTGGTGGCCACTGCTACTGACAGTAGGTCTTGTACGTTACTGCATTGAGGAGAATGCATGAACACAGTTTGGGATCCTCTCTGCTATGCTACCATAAACAATGCCTTCAAATCACCTTATTAGAAGGCACTGAAACTAGTCAAGCAATTGTGTGCATCAAATCTAGTTTGCCTAGACATGATGTAGCTGGTGCAGTAATACCTAACAATTTTTGTGGTTTGTGGATAAATGTATGTTTGTATGTATTACTGCTGGAGCATTATTCTTAATCGTGTGGGCTGGCAGGAGTCAGGAGGGAAGAAGCACCCATTGAAAAAGGCTGAAGAATTTAAGTCTGCTCTGTGTTTAGTATAGGTATATTATCAAGCTGTACCAGTGAAGGCTTGCCAACTGCTGAGATTTTGTTTAACAAAAGTGAAAACAAGATGAACAAGGACATTTATTTGCATTCCAGTTACTTGAGGATTAATGGATAAAATGGCAGGTAGAAAAGTTGATATGACTCAGAATCTTGACAACTACTACCACTTTATAAATACAGTTCTGTGCATCTCTGTGACAGAAAGTCATCACTACTGCAATAGCTGCAATGACCCCAGACACTGGCAAAGGCCAGATGCATGTTATAGAGGAATATGCAGCTGCTCCAGATCCCATCAGCAAGGGAGAAAGGGGGTAACAAGCTGTCTCTCTGGATCCAGCTACCCTGGTATCTGCAGTGAATGAGTTAATGATAAATAGGAGTAATATATGATCTATGCAAATGCCACTAACG